AATGTCGATAAGTAAACTTGGTAGTGGATTGATGAGGTTCAGAAGGCTATTTGCGAAAAAAGGCTATTAGCGAAAAACAATCATAGTCATTGATTAAAAGAGCAGCCCGCCTAGCGCTTAGGTGGGCTAGGGGGGCCTGGTTGCACTGTCCAGGTCTAGGCGAACCAACCAAGCAGGTTGTCCTTGGACGGGCCCCTAGAGGACTGTGCCAACCTAGGTGCAAAAATGGCCATCGGGTGGGGTTTTTTTGATGTTTTTTGTTTGGGTTATAAAAAATGCATGAATATATATTTTTTTATGCAAAATCTGCACCTAAAATGGGATTTTTGGACACCTCTTGCACCCTTTTGAACCTAGGCCACCTAGGTTCTGGGCACCTGCCTAGGCGCTCGGCGGCCTAGACCCCCCCGGCCGCCTAGGCGCGGCCCGAAGTTTTTGGAACTTTGATCTTATTATAAACCTTGGTGATGTAATAGGAATGGTTAAAACTTAGAATTGTAAAAATGCTAAAAAAAACACTAAGAAAATATTGAAGCTAAACTTAAGGCATATGATGATCTACACAATGAACTAAAGACAATAGAAGGTGAAAAATGTCTTCAAACTAGTGAAAGTGAGAGAGGAAGTGTAGGGTGGTAGATTATATTGATTGCATTAAGAGTATGGATAAGATGGTCTTGGTGAAGGATGACGAGGTCAACAAAAGGTGGCAAATTTATTTTCAAAAATTGTAAAATGACAAACACTATAGGAGCACAACACTAGGAGGGACTTCAAAAAAATGGAGGTGGGTGCCTAGGCTGTTGGGTGGGCGCCCAGATACATTGGCACCCCAAGTTTTGTTTCTTTTCTTGGGGGTGGGCGGAGCATTTGTTTACATGTATTATGGATGTATGTATGTACGTATTTATATGTATATATGTATATGTAATTATGTGTTCATGGGTGAGAGAGAGAGAGAGAGAGAGAGAGAGAGAGAGAGAGAGAGAGAGAGAGAGAGAGAGACGTAGAG